CGCCGAGGAATCGACTACGGTCAGTTTCGTCCCAGGCAGCGTCACGACTCACCACCGTACGGAGCTACGTCCTCTACGTCGTTTATCGTCGTTCCATTCCCGTACCGCGTACGTTGTACGTCGTACGTCGTACGTCCGGCTGGGAGATTGCGAAGTGCAAAGCGACTACGTTGTCTGGTCTGTGCGTCGCTCCCTGTAGTCTCGCCATTGACGCCGACGGCGACGCTGTTACGGAGCAAGCGAGAGAGATAGAGTGAGAGAGAGACAGAGAGAGATAGAGAAAGAGTGCGAGAGTGAGAAAGAGGCGAGCGAGGGACGCGGAGCTTTCTCGAGACACTTGGCGACATAACGATGGCGACGATATCGACGATCACGACGACAACGTCGATGTCGACGTCAACGACGAGGATCGAGACAGCGATGGCGACGGAGCCGAGAAGGAACTATAACGAACTGTGTCGCTTATGCGCTTCCTACGACGCCGTTAGGATGCACATATTTGGCCAGGAAGGCAAGAATCGTCAACTCGTCGACAAGATTGAAACGTGCTTGCCGTTCAAGGTAAGTCGTCCTTCTCTTTGTTCGCATTCTTCGCGACATGCTGAGATATTATCCTGTTCCTTGTGGGACTCGCAACAATTCATCTATTTCCTTCTCTCTCTCTCTCTCTCTCTCTCTGTTTCTCTTTCCTCCGTCTTATTTTGTCTTCCGCAGCGTCCCTTATTTTCTCTCTCTTTCTCCCTCCCTCGCTCCCTCTCTCACTCAATTTCGTTTACTTTTCTGAGTGACCTCCCTTGGTACTTTGTGGCCCTGCACGATTCGTCCTCGATCTCATTCTCCCGATAAGAGACGGAGAGGCAGAAGGAGTGCGAGAGCGATAGAGAGAGAGGGAGAGAGAGAGGAGATTCACGGACGACTCGTTCGGTGTCGACGGGGCGTTACTGGGTGAAGGTTTTCTTCCCGCCGCCGCGTCGTCACCGTCGGCCATCTCGCTCGCTCATCCGCTTGTTCGCCGAGAGCGTCCTCGGTGACGAATTCCACCCGGTTGGCCATCGCTTATCGAGGACGTCGCGACGGCGAGGTCGGCCTGACGCAAGGAGGCACGCTTCGTCGCGCGACGCACTGGCGACATTTTGTTTGCCGCTACGGCACGCATTACGTGCTCCTCCACGGGATCCAACCGCCGCCGCGCCGTTATCGTCGTCGTCGAGTCGCCTCGTCGCCTCGTCTAACTGCGGACCGCGTTCCGGTTTATTTTCAATTTCCTGCTACAATTGGATATTCCATTGTCACGTGTGTCATCCCCTCGCAGCACCGGTTTATCGTTCAGGCTCGTTGTTAATCTCGTCCTCGTGTACAACGGGATTTACCGGATCCCACGCGTCGTAGTTTCGTTGATTCTCTACACGAGCACGCGGCGTTCGAGCTGGAAGATGGAAAAATTGCATCGCAAGATACGCGTGATCTTTCCTAAGGTGCATCTCTATTATAGATTGTCTTTAGCAGAAAAAGTAACTTTACAAATCTTGTACAATTCTTCAATATGATTGGTTTATACACTTAAAATACTTGGATGCGGGAATTTAAGGGAAAGAAGATCAATCATGTCGAAAGATATTACAACTGTTGCAAAGCTACTCTTTCCGCTAAAAGCGTCTATTCTTTGACAAAATGAGAGAATATGATGTAAAAACATCAACTTGGATCTTGTGAAACTTGTAGCGAATTCAGTTATTTCCATTACATATTAATCCTCTATAGCCCGGTGTGACTTCGAAGTAACATACCAATATATATCTTGTTGATTATTTAATTTTTAAAAACAAAAATTTTTACATAAATTATATAATTTTTTTATAGCCACGAAAAAATTCGGGCTATAGAGGGTTCGAAGCTGCTGTACATGAAATTAGCAGAGTTAAATTAAAAGCACATTTTAAACGATTAAATCCCCAATAATGACATCGTCACATTATTTAATAGAGTATTAGTTACGTATCAAAGTTGATTATATTATGCCACTGTATTCAGGTACTTTATGTTAAAGCAACTTGTAACGTGCATTGATTCAGTGTAATGACCGAATTTACCATTAAAAAACATACCTTGAGAATTGCCTCGTCTCGACAAGTAATCGCGTTCCAATTTATTTCGAATTTCCTCCTATACTTGGACTGTCATTTGCATCACTCTCTTGCATTCATTTATCGATGTTATTTGTTGTTATATATTTCGTCTTCGTACATGATGAAATTTTTATCGGATCGTGTGTACAATCGAAATCCACGTGTTACGAATTTTGGTTATACACACGAGCACGTGGTATTTAAACCGAAAGATGGAAGTAATACTGTACGAAACACGCGATCTTTTTCTAAGTTGTATCTTATCTAGTCTTTGTAGAAAAAAAGAGATATGATGTAAAAGCATCAATTTATGTGTCTCGCGAAACTTAAATATACCTGAAATATATATGTTCAAGAGTTTATGTAACATAAAAAATAATATAAAAGCGTTTTATGATAATGATGTACAAAGTATAATAAAATTTTATATTCATGAAGCTAATTAGAAGATTAAAGCGCGCTGTTTTTTATTGAAAAATTTCTGAGTTAGATGTTTACTGTAATGGATACAATCAGGATATTGTAAAAAATTAGCAATACGTGTGAATAATAATTAACAATAAAATGTTCAAAATGTTAATAAAACTTCTTTCGTATTCGTTTCTTGTTTTATCATTCGCATTGTTATTTATCTTCTATTACAGTTTTCAATGTAATATGTCTGAAGAAAAAAAGTTTTTAATGTTTTTAAGAATAAATTTATTCAATGAATATTCCTGGAATCATATTATGAAACTGTTTGGGTTCTGGTTGTTTTTTCTTAGAAAACACAACAGAAATCTAGGGAATAATTGAGTAATTCGATCGGAATCCATACCGAATAATTTCATAATATGTACCGTAGAGAGATATTTCGAGAGACGCGAAATATACCGGCTATTAATTATAGTCATATTTCTGAGATAAATTTATTTTTTTAAATACATATATATGCATTAACATCTAACCATTAACATTTGACCGAAAGTGGCGCTTTTCGTATTTAGTAGGTGATGTACTCACATAAACAATGTTGTTCCTAATCGTATTGTTTATGTTTTATATATTTATTATTATTTTACATAAAATCATTGCCAAAATCTTTGTTCAATAACTAATTTAATCGTCTCTTTAATATTATTATTATTATCATAAGTCATAATGTTGATTTCTAATGGGGTATTTGCTCAATGGGATATCTGTTAACAAAAGA